GGTAAAATAGACTTTTTCACAAAAACCCAAATGGATCTAATATACCCGGCTAGTTTGGAAAATACCCCCTGAAATGGCAGGGTTTGTAAATTAATTGGGTGAAACCGTGAAAATGGGTTTGGGAATTAATTGGGTGAAACCGTGAAAATGGGCTACTAGCTACTGGGTTTAAATAGTGGGCTACAATCAATTTACCCATAAAAACAATGCATCTGGGCTTGGACTACACTGGTCTACAACCCAATGTAGCCCACCATTGGATCCACCCCTACCTTTAGCGTCACCTAAATTGATATTATAACATCAATGGTAAACCTTATTCTTTTGAAAATGTTGGGAAAACATAAATGCAATTTTTCCATATTAAAAAGAGGAAATTACACCAAGTACCTATTATTTAATTTATATTCAAATATTAGATTGTGATGTGATCCATAATACGAGGGCAAGTTCCGACAAATATCCATTAATCGTTGAGGAAGGGCCATCACTAGCAAAGCAAATCCAATAAGCAATATGCTACTTGTTTAAGTCACAGGGAAACATTGATCACGATAAGTAAATGGAAAAGTTTCATATTGGACATGGAGGACGGAACAAGATTGATGAACTTGATTCGAGCAGGAAATGAGGGAGCTGAAATGAAGACCTATGCGACCGCATAGGGTCACTAAGCATGCGGTCGCAGAGCCCCTTACAAAAACTCAGTTGAAGGCTGATGACTGACCTATGCGACCGCATGCCATTAGCCTATATAGCCTCATAGTTCAAACTATGACACATATTTTTCAAATTTTGTGCAATCTTTTATTTTAGTAAAAACTCTATTTTGTGATATCTACTGTTATTTTTAGAGTTTAATTTCGTTTTTACTAGGGTTTTATGGATTCCATATAAATATGATTATTATTTTCATTGTAACAATTTGAAAGATATTATTACAATGCATATTGTTTTCTTCTCGTTCTTCATCCAATTAATTCCAAACTTATCAAGAATTAAATTTTTGTGGCATTCAACAATTCAAATAAGGTTCATAAATATTATGATCACGGGTCAAGATATTGTTGCAATTGTCTTGGTTCAATAATTTATTGGGTCCAACTTTTTTTCAAACGTTGATTCTTGGCTTTTTTTTGTTATGATCTAATTTGTTGTGGGTTTCGTAACTTCAATAGCTACATGGGTTCGTATCTGTTGGTATCAGAGCTTAACTCCAAAAATCAAGGTTCTGTCATTTAATTCTTTGTTTGTTATTGTTTGAGTCCTTATCTTCGTTCTTCTTATTATTCATCTTTAAGTCATTTAATCCAATTAAAGTATCAAAAAATTCAAAATTCGTTTATGCTCTAAATTAGTGCCTAAATCAATTTTTTTTTGAATTTTTTGGGGCCTTGAATTTTCGCGCATTTAAAAAAAAGGTGTCTAGTCCGAATTCAAGAAATATTTTCTTGAATTTATCCTTAGCATTTCATTCAAAATTCAAATTCCTACTTTCTTAAATTATTTTAGATTACTTTTCTTACTCAATTTTTTGTTTGAACCCACAAGGGTTGAATTTTTTATTGAGATCGAATTAATTCTTTAAAACACTTACAAAAAAGTATTGAGTGGAAAAAGGTAGAGTGGTGAGACTAATAAAGGGAAACGGCCAAATTGAGTGATATATGAGTGTACACACGTGAGGTAAATATTAAACTAAATTTAGGATGGCTAATCGAGACGATTCAACTTCAAACGAGAAGAATAGTCGAATCATCACAACGGGAGAGATGATACGGTGATTTAAAAGGTTGTTTGATGATATGGGAGATATAATTGATAGATAAGATGCGTAGATGGAGAGGCAAGACATATTGTCTGCTAATTTACGTAGGGATCAACTTGGAGAAGTTCCTAATACAAGGAGGCAAGGAATGCGGGATCGTAGAGTAGATATTAGTGATGAAAATGAAGCGGGTAGTGGGATTGATGATGATGCATTGGTGGAGGCTGAAATAGGAAGAGTGAGGAATAGATGAGATAGGTATGATAGGAGGGCTAGAAATTATGTCGGAGATGATGTTGATAGAAATATGAGCAATATTAAAATGACAATTCCTTCATTCAAAGGAAGAAGCGATCTCAAAGGCATATTTTAAGTGGGAAAAGAAGATAAATCTTATATTTGATTGTTATAACTACTCAGAGGAGAAGAAACTAAAACTTGCTATCGTTAAGTTTATTGATTATGCTATCATTTGGTGGGATCAAATAGCAATATTTAGGAGGAGGAATCATGAAAGGTCTACTGAAACATGGGGAGAATTGAAAGCTATCACGAGGAAGAGGTTCATTCCTAATCATTACTATAGGGATCCTTATAAAAAATTACAAAGCATTTATCAAGGATCTAGGAGTACGGAGGATTATCACAAGGAGATGGAGATTGCCATGATTAGAGCAAATGTTGAGGAGGATCGAGAGGCCGCCATGGCCCAATTTTTGA